AATGCAAAAGTATGAACATACCATACATATATGTATGTATGTAAAGCGTGTGCTACGATTTGAGCAAGACTTAAATTTGATGTTGTTTTTTATTTCAACATAAAATACGTAGGAAAGGTTTATGTTGGGAATAGCATATCGGACAAATAATCGCCAATGTCTTACTAAAAAAATCCAAATTTAAGAGAAAATGTTATATGGAGTATGACCATATGACTTATTTTCTGAGGTCGCTGAATGTGGGACTATCATTTATACCTATAACTAATCGAGGTTCGAGTTGAACTGTTCGCGGAACCAGATTAAAGTTGGATTCCTGCAAGGTATGTGCACTAGGGTGGTCCGAAAATGCATACAAAAAAAAAGTAAAGTAGGAATTTGGATGCTCTCACAACCTACGATTGTTCTATACCGAAAAAAGTATACTCTTTTTTTCATCAATCAAATCAAAAAATATTTTTATATGGGAAAAACCACTTGGTTCGTAGAAATTGTATGCAGTTCTTGAAAATCAATATTATCCGATCGGAAAACTCTTTTCTCTTCGGGAGACTGCCAATTTACTAGTCAATTGCAGATTTTACCATTTTTTAGTCCTATTGATTTTTTATGGGTCCCTCTATTACAATTTCTGGGGTTTTTAGGGGTTCTATAAAAAAATGGATAATAATAGAAAATAGTTAAACAAACAATTGTGTAGTATTTGTGAAAGTCTCCTGAAGAGAAACAAAGTTTTCCGAACGAAAAGTATTGTTTATGAAAGCAAACTGAAAATCGTATGCAAACTTCCGTCCCTCCCGCTTCCTTTGCAAAATCTAACCTTACCCATTATTATCCAAAATGCTAGTTGTAACACGAATAGCGGGTAAGTTTTCACTTAAAATGCATTTGCACCAAAGTTGTGGAAAGAAAATCACTGCACCAGAATGAGAGTAACGGCATTATTTTAACCGGGACCGAATCGGCTGGACAGCAATTTGACTGGAAGGGGGAGGGACGACAAATTGCATACGATTTTATTTATGGCGAGAGAATAACAGTTTTATTTGATGTGCTATATTTACGATATGCACTATAGGAACTATTTAAGTACATGCTACTTACTTACATACATATATGCATAATAAGTATGAGCGAATGCTGGTAAGATACACAACGAGAGATCATTGTTTATAATTATTTTCGCGCCCTCCGCAAATGCGTAGTTAATTTAGCACAGATGAAATGAGTCTCGTTCGCCACTTGTCGGCAGCTTTCAACTCTTTGTTCGTGCTAACTTTAATTTATCTTTTCGATTTTTCAAATCTTACGCTACGGACATTCTGATTTATAATTGTCAAAAGTGTATGTGTTTGTTTATATCTTTTGATGAATGTAAGTCAATTCACTTGAAATGATTTGGAGAATGACTGTCAAAATCTTAAATTGGTGTAGATATTCCTGAACGTCGGGCTCACTTCACGCTACCAGTAGCCTTGTAAATCCATTAGATATGCTCTGCAAACAATGGTACTCAGTGTGTTCGATGTTGTGCTATGTAGATATCTATGTAGTACATTAGACTGCATCGCCAAACCAAAAGTCTCCGAAAATTATTAAGATTTAACGATTTGAAAATACCTCTAAAAATTTAGTTTTTATGAGTAAAAATAGTTTCTTAAAAGATTTTTTGAAAAAAGTCGCCTTTGATGACAAACACTAAATTTTAGGAGGTATTTTCCGATCGGTCCAGCTTACGTAAATCTTAATATTTTTCCCAAATATTTTGTTGCAATCCTAAAATATAATAGATTTTATTATTCCAATGGAAAAAAGCACCGATTTTTTATTTTTTTTTGTTTGAAGGGGAGTGATGAAGTCTAATGTACATATGTATATGAGTACAGGCAATTGTCTTAAATAAAGAAACGATTTAGTTGATTGTGTTTTCGTTTTAAATTTAAACCCAAGCGATCTTTCATTTACTTTAAATAGCTTCATTCTGCACTTCACAGATGCTTTTTCATAGTTCAGAAACACAAAACCAAAATTTTTATATCAACATATTTTCAAATGCTCAGTTTGAAGTACATTTCTATTACAATCATTCAATCGAAATACCTATTTTATTTCAAATTAAATTAAAACACTTTTTGTGTTAAAAATAGTCTACCATAGGAAAGCTTCTAATAAAATTCATTTGCGGTTCGGAGGCGGCGTAAAACTGTGGGCCCGTATATTTGTGTATCAATTTCAAGACATACACTACAAATTGGAGGAGAACAAATTGCAAAACAATTGGCAAAAGCGTAAGCGCCAAAATATGTATTTGTATCTATATATTAATACGCTAACATAAATTTTGTCTCCGTTCGTTTGGCGATTCTACCGAACCGATTTCAAAACCATGAACACCGTTGGAAAGGCATTTTTCCGTAGATGAGCAGAGTTTTTTTGGTTTCACAATTGGTTGAAAATTACGGCCAAAACCGTCGTTTAAACATTTTCGAATTGTGTATAGACAACATGTGCATGCAACATGCAACATGTTCAATTTGACATCTTTCGCCTGTTGTTTCACTACATATTTGAAATTAAGCTTTCAAAGCTAAAGACAAAGATAAATATGAAGATGAAGAAATAAATGATAACGATGAAGTCAAAAAAAAGAAGGCAAACGTGAAGATAAAGACGAAAATTGAGATAAAGGCGAAAATGGAGACAATGAGAAATACATAAGAATTAGATTAATTGAATTGAAATTTCTCGATAGTAATCGAAATAAAATCAGCCATAAAAGTTACTGAAATTTATCGAATCATCGAAGTTTATAATTATCGAAATTTATCCATGCTTATTAAGTTATCGCAACGTATCGAATTATTCAAACTGATCAATGTTTACTGAGTTGTCGAAATTTATAGACACAGACTTAGTTGTCCAAATTTACGGATAGTTATCGAGCTATTAAAACGTGCGGGATTAACGAAATTTGTCAAGTTAAAGAAATGTATCAAGTTATCGATATTTATTGAATTATCATTATTTATACACTTAACGAAATTTATCGAGGTGTCGTAATGCATGGAGTTCTTTCAACTTACAGAGTTATCGATAATTATTGATCTACTGAAATTGGTTGGTTCAACAAAGCAAAGTTTATGGAATTTTCAAAATTTATCGATTTATCGAAATTTCAAGGTTATATAAGCTTATCGATTTATCACTGCTTATCGAAATTATTCGTCTTAACAGAGTGTAACGAGTTATCAAAATGTTTAGATAGTTTTCGAAAAATGTGGAGATGTCAAAAGTAAAAATTTATAAAGGTATCCAAAGTTTTAATATTTCTGAGCTATCGAAATTTATCGAGCTATCGAATTTCACAGTTATCGAAATTGGTCGAGTTAACGAATTTTGTTGAGTTATCGAAATTTAGTGTTCTTGAAATTCATCGAACCGATATGTATCAAATCATTGAAATTTATCGATAAACTTGAATGTATCGGGTCAATTCCAAGTCCTGCCGAAGTCCTCCAAAGACCTTCTCAGATAAAAAATTTTAGTTACGTTTTAGTTCTAAAGCAGAAGATTTTCCGGTTAGTTAATTTGTACCGAATAAGTTTTGCTACGTGTAAAGTTAGAAAACCTCTCCAAGGCTTCTAAAACTAGAAAAACTGTCGAATTTCGACAGTAACTGGCACTCTAGTTTTTATTATTATGTGTTAACATCGAAATCCCGAAAACGACTTTGTTTGAAAAAAATCATGTTTTTTTGTCCTTAGTGTAGTTTTATTAGACAAATATATTAAACAAGTAAATTTGAAGCGAAAACAAAACCGACTTCAATTCTCATATAAAAATTTAAGTGTACCCATTAGTTCATTTTATTTGTTTTGTATTACACTACTAATGAAATACGAAACACATTGATATTACCAACTATAATTTTTACTTAGAACTCCAATATTGTTAAAACATATTTGTCCATTCATACGGTAGATACATATTTCAATACTCATATGCACCTACATTGGTGCGTACACATATTTACATACATATATACGTAAGATCACTGAGCGAAACAAGTACATATATTTGATTACGAAGGCATACAAATGTATACATTATGTGCATTAGGGTGGTGAAAATGTGAAGTCGGAATTTTAGTGCTAAAGTCCTATACCGAAAAATAATTATAGCAACTCATGTTTTTTTTCGAAATCAAAACTTATTTAGAGGTTGTTAAAAGCGGTAAAAGTGTCCATGTATTTTTTATGAGGAGAAAAAAAAATGTCGTGGAAATGGTATGGAATTCTTGAAAATCAATATTTTCGATAGGAAAACCCTGTTTTTTTCAGAAGACATCCAGTGATAGTATGCAATTGTTTATTTTACTATTTTTTAAGAGCTATTTTTAAAGAGTCCCCCATTGCATTTTTGTGGGGTTTTCAGTGACCTATAAAAAATAATTAGGGTTAAGAAAGGGTTAAATAAACCATTGGGTATTAATATTGAAAGTCTCCTGAAGAGAAATAAAGTTTTTCGATTATGATCGTGGACGTCGATTTAATTTTTTCATTAAAAAAAAGCTCTCGTACAGCTCCAAAGAATTTATGAGTAAATGCGTTCCTCGCAAAAATACTGTGGTCAGCATAGCTGGAGTTGGACATACGAGGGCTATACTTTGATGAAAAAATTACATCGACGTTGACATCGACAACAATAATAGGGCCGATTGATTTTCAAGAATTCTATATCATTTCTAAGAAAAACTTTTTTTTACCGTATAAAATACATAGAAGTCTTTGCGCAATTCGAGCGACCTCCTAATATTTATTTTTATTTCAAAATAAAAAAACAGTGGTATAACTTGTTTCGGTACAGAGCAATCCTGGGGGTGAGAGCATTAAAATTCCGACTTTACTTTTCTCACATGCACTTTTGGACCACCCTACTGTACATATTCGTATTTATACATGTTGAAGTGTTTTTGAAATAATTTACTTTGTCATACCCACCTTGCTTGCCTCGAACCCGAAATTCCGAAATCTCCTTCAACTTTAACAGCCACAATAAATTTACTTCATTTAAATTCTTTCTATTTTTTATTTTCGAATATGCACAATTTGATCTTATTTTTATTACAATTTTTAACTTTTCGCTCGCTTACGCTTGCAATCACGTTTCACTTTAGACATGTATCTACACTGTGCTGCTATGCTACTACAACACGTTTCGCACTGATCGTACAAATTCACGAATGTGTCAGCTGAGCAACCGCACCGTTCACTGCTGCAAGAACAACTTCTCCAACAAGAATTCTATTTCTGTTCTTTTGCAAACGTTTGACCTTATGTTTTATTTCGATTTATGGCATACCACACCTATTGTGGTGTCACAATATTTACCCACCTTTTTTTTACTTTTTTTTTTTTGTTGCTTCGCTAATTTTATATTCACGCTTTTATACGTCCGCGAGTTTAGAACGTCGTTGTTGGCACTTTGCCTTGCCGTTTCGCACTGTTCGCCACACCCGCCACTCGATCGTTTCAGCGACAGCTTCTTCTCGCTTTTTTATTTCTTTGGCCAGGCTAGTGGGGCTTTGGTCGCACCACTGCCGTTTTTGGGGCATTTTTATTCTCTCACTTAACACCCGCCTTGCTGCCAGTAATGAGCAAACAAACACAACCTGTTTGAGAAGATCGCGGCATATCGCGCCGCACCAAATTATTTAACGGGTTGCCACCTTAATAGGCAGTTTCAAGCGTTAACAATTGGCCGTACACTGCCAAGGTAGTCAAAAGCCTCTAATTATTATTATTTTCTTTAATTGGGTTGAAAGTTTGTATAAACTAATTCGATATAGAAAATTCGATAATACAAATGTACATATCGAGGTATTGGAGCACCCATATTTACTTGCAAATGTACGATTTTTTTTCGGTTGCCGAAGTTTTTTGAACAACTTGGAGATAAACCAGTAAAGAAGTCTAAGTTCGCACGAAGCCGAACATTACATACCCGGCGCACGTATTAAGTATAGTTTTTTCATCTTTCTGAAAACGACCGTTACATGTTAAGCAGGGTCGTTTTACCCCTATTTCAAACATCTTCGATAGTTGCTGTTCAGTTTGACTTAATGAGATAAACTTATATAGTTATAAGTGGGCGGTATCACGCCCAAGAGATCAATATAAGTGTAAATTTTGTGTTAATAAGCTGCAGTAGTTACTAAAATATAGCAGTATTCGTATTTCTGCAAACTACCGTTATGTGGGAGGTAGACGTGGTTGTTGTACAAATTGTACAGACAGTCACGTCTTAATCGATTTCTCTTTTCAGTCTTATCAATTATGTATACATTTATCTGCGTCTATCTAAATTCCTTTAGGCTGTTATGCGAACAAAGTTATAATACCCTTGTGCACAAGTGCGCGCGGGTATAAAAATATGCTATGCAGAAAGTGGAACTAGCAGCTTTTACCGCGGCGGCGACGATATATGTATGTATGTATATGTAGCATCAACATTTTTGTTTTCACTAAACGCCCTGCAGCAATAAGGCGGCCAATTTTCCGTTAAGGACTAGTACTTCACTGGTTAAAACTTGACTGGTCCGAATTGGACATTTGCTTGCATCGAAAATGTCAGCCTTCGACCAGTCCCCAAGGAACCGGCCTGGAGATAGACGAAAAGTATAGTTTGGCAGTGACAGGGTGATGTTGTCTTGCAATTCAATAAAAAAAATTTAAAGAACACCACCGTGTAAATGTCCCAATCGCTTGGTCTGGCCTTGATGCAAAGTGAACATTTGAACACGCATTTACATGCGAGGCTGTAGCTCAGTGCGCAGAGATGCTTTCCACTATTTGTTAGCTTTCAGAAGGGTCTGGGTTCAAATGCCGTCGGAAGCAACGTGGTTATAAAATGACAAAATTTATTTATTTTTTTGTGTTTCCGAATTATGAAAAAGCTTCTGCGAAGTGCAGAACGCAATCTTACTCCAAAGAAAAAAATCTCCAAAATTGGACTAGTCCAGGACTATCTTATGGTTAGTTTTGATTGGACTGGTCCTTTTCCAATGACACGCCAATGCTAAAAATGGCAGTTGAAACCATTGGCAGGGGAATTATGAGGGACTAGTGCTGCTAACAATAGGTACATCTGAGGGCTAACCTAGGGTGAGTCTGAATTGCTGCAGGGCGCTTTTGAGACATATGTATGTATGTATGTATGCAAGTCGTGAACTCAAGTAAATTTGCGCGAGTTAATTTGCCTTTGCGAAATCCTTGTTGTATGAAACACGAGAGGAGATAAAATGCGTCAACTGATTTGTAATAATTGGAGAAATGCCCTCTTTAAGTGACGAATTAAATAAGGCCAGTGTTGCCATATATGAACTTTTCCTACCAAAACTGGTAAGTTTTTTTTTCTATTTGGTAGTTTGGTAGGCTACATTGGTTTTTGGTAGGTTGCACGACAATAATAGTTATTAGCGAAAAATAAAAAAATATGTATCTTCTAACATTTTAGCAACCTTGTTTACATGAATATTTGACCGGTGCGTTGTTATAACGGCGACCGCAAACATGTAACATGATTCGTAAGTAAAAGCGTACACTCTTATTATTGCCAATATACAATATGAGTATGTATCTATTCTGATTGAAAAAGATGCCTGGTGGAATGCTCTACGACTGCCCAATACGATCAGCATAACAAATGGAGATCTTCGGGATCATTTGAAGGTTCTCAAGCCATCCCTGGATGATTCCTAGTTATCCTTCTACAAACTCTACAAGGTCAGAATTCCTAAAAGATCGAAGATGGACGACAGAGTACTGAGGTAGGCGTAATAGAACCAAGATTCCAGAAAATTTTCTCAGTGGGCACATACCCAACTATGTGTGTTCCAGGCAGAAGCTTTCGAATACGAAGTCTGTGTTCGCGAATGTCTTCACTGAAGGACAAATGGGATCAGAATAAATATTATGTCTTAAAGCCAGACAGCAAAGGCCTTAGACTCTTTTAAATGGCATCAAGACTTGGGCAGAGTTTTAAAACTCTTATGAACCACCTCGGAGCTCACAATAGCCTAACGCTGTGGTGGATTCCGGGACATGAAGGGTTTGAAGACAACGAGAGGGCTGACTGTCTCGCAAAGCGGGGGGGCTCAAATACGCTTAAGCCTTTCTGCGGTATACTTAAAGGACACGCTGCAGAATTACTTAGGAACTGGGGAGAATCTCACTGCAGAATTACTTAGATAGAAACATATTTAGTTGACGTAAGTAAACTCTTTCCTAAGTATAGAAAATTCTAAATTACGCAAATATTCTCATGAACAAAATTGTTGTATTTTCACACACTTAATACATACCAGTATAAATTAAAGTTCAAAGTAAACGGGCATTAACCTCCACAGTATTTTGCGTATAGGGGGAAGCATTTGTCATTTTCTTTGTGCAAATTACTAGATCCTAAGAAAGAAACAGCATTCATTCATAGTATTTTATCAAGGCGGTGTTCTTAGTCAACCACTTAAAAAATATAATTGCTATATGTATTTAGACGGAAATTACATATTTTCTTTATTAATTTTGTTAACATACACCAACTGACGTCATACTATAATATACCTACATATTTACGGGTAGGTGTGTACATGCATATGTATATACATACATTTGCCTCGCCATTCCAGACTATGCCCTCTTTAATAAGTAATCATCATCGGTACGCGTCTGTGATATGACTCACTGCTTTCTGATCTCTGCTGGCAATTCATATACACTTAGTTCTTGTGTGATGATTCCATCTACATACATACTAATCCAGCAAAGATCGCGACTACTCCATGCAAGCATGTAAAGAGTACACTGTAAGAAGTGTTGCCAACTTTTGAATTTCAAAAAGCACCAAAACTTAGAAAAAAAAAACGCGTTTTATCCCACTAAAAGCACACAATTTTTTTGAATCAAATGATACTTTTTTTGTAACAGTTTGTAGTTAACAAAATTAAAAAAAATAAACAATATTTACAAGTATAAATCAATACAAAAAAAAACTTTTTCGATTTCATAACGATTGATTAGCCTCTACACATGCTATTATGAATCATGCTTACGAGGTAATACGGAAGTACTGCACATTAAAACTGGTATACATATCTCTATAAAGAAAAATCGAATCGCAACAAACCAAAATAAATTTTTAAGAGGAAGAGTAATACTAAATGATGCCTTAAGTAAAAAAAAATTTGTTGTTTTCATAATATTAATCTCAAATATCTCCAAAAACCGTATTTTTGGCACTTTGAGGTTGGGACATCACACGCGCTAGAGCAATTCTGGGGCCATATTTGGATTCAGCACCAAAATATCGACAATATACGATGTGTTTTACTCAGGTGGTAACTGTGTAATCAATCAAAGAATTTAAAATTATCTAGAAAAGAAATACTTAATTTAAGAAGAACGTGTGTTTGCAACTTCAGCTTTTTATCAATCATGGTTGCATTTTAGTACATTTAAATTTATAGATTCTTGTAAATTCAGTGCCGCCACAGCTTTAAATATTTTAAATAATTTTCTGTTCTAAGTACATATCTATGGGAAATTTGAGTACCGAAAAAAAGCACTAAAAAAGGCACCAGGCACTAAAACATTTTTTTTGCGTTTTAATTTTCACAAAGTTGACACCAGGTTGAAAATTATAATAAAATTTTTTTCTGAAAAGATTTTGATCGGCAAAGGAAAAAATGAAATAATTAGAAAAATGATAAAATGAAAAATGAGTTTCGCATTTGGAAGCTGCAAAAATACCAGATACCACTGCAAGGAGGACGGTATACATTTTTTCAATTTACAGCGCTTCCTTTTGTGAGACCAAAATGGTTTGAAGCCAGCGGCTTGTATGTTCTCAACATTTTGCTACCACGGATATTAGCATTAATTAATTATTAACTATTGTTATTCCAAATAAACGACGAGATGCTGTGCCAAATATCTTTCGAGAAAATAACGGCATTCCAATATCCGTAGACGAGGAGGCGGAGATAAAAATTGGTTTCCGTCTCTACGATTATTTAGTTTTTAATTTTTTTTAAATAGCTTACAGAAGAGCATGAAGAAAAATAATTTCTCGAAAACATAAGTCCACTTAACGATATCGAGTTTGATGGGCTGGAGAATTTTGCAGGTTACCTTGTGTCGAAAATGGGTCTGGCGCAATTCGGTTTCAGAACGACTGAAGGGAAAGTTAATAATTATACTTTCCTTAATTGCATATTTGAAGGAGGTTTTTATAAACCAAGTGCTGAGTTTTTTTGAATATTTTGGAGCATTTGAACACGAAATTTATTGAAACGTTTGGTGATAAATTAACAAGTTCAAATGTAAAAATAAATTTATTGTACAATCCAAATGTTACTATCGAGAAAAGAACTGTAAAACGTTTTCTTTTTTGGTAAGTACATTTTTTCAAATACGAAATTCAAATATAAAGTTAAAAGAGAACAGAACTAAATATGAAAATAAGAAGATGAGAAAAATGACATCTTGATGGGCTTTTTGAATTTATTAAATAAAATCATT